GCAGCTGCTGTTCACTCAGCTCCACCCGAGCACCAACAGTTTTTGTTGTGATGAAGAGAGCAGAGATTGCCAAGGTGAAGCCTTTGCCATAGGAAGCCTTCACAGCCTGGGAGGGGGGAGACAATCCAGGACAGAATTTGAACTGACTGGGAGCCACAGCCGTGCGGTTGGTTTATTGCCCGTGAACTCGGGGTTTTGCCTGGTCTTGCTCTGACATATTTGAAGCCCTGTGTGCAACTGGCAGACCATGGCCTGCTCCATGAATTTGGAGCTGGTCACATCTTTTCCCTTCACAAATTGCAGTATTTAACTTGTGCTCATCTGTTCTGAAATAATTCAGCTGGAAGTGCAAATGCCTAAATTCATCATTGGTCAAATCAAGGTAGTGGGGATGCTGCTGGAAGTCAGGGTAATGGGGAGGGCAAGAGTATTTTGTTTGGAAACTAACAGGAACCAGTCACCATCTCCCCCCAGATTACAACTTTTCTATTGTACAGGCTACGTGGATGTACCTATGGTCCCCACAGTTCCCCCCTCAGCTCCAAGCAAAGCCCAGTCCCCAGCCCACCCTGGAGGCTTCTGGATCCCCTGCTGGGAAGGGGCAGGGAGACTGGGGGCATGAGGAAGGTCAGAGCCCTGGAACTCACTTCTTGCTGTGCATATTCCTCTGCTCCAGCTGCTTTTCCAAAGTCGGTGTATTTTGTGGTGCAGTGTAAGACCCCAGGCGGCCTCTTCACGAAGTGGTTGGTGAGGTCTATTTTTATTTTGGGATCTTCAATAGCAGAGGCAACTGCAAAGACAGGTAAACAATATTACTGTCAAAAACTGATTCCCCTGATGTCACCCTGTGAGCCTTAAGTCCTGTCTCAGCTTTCTTCACCAACCTGTCCTTCATGTTTCATCTTTCTTACTGTAGAAAAGGACTAGATGGGTAAATAAAACTCCTTCCCCCTCAGCTAACAATGGATGTAACCAGAAAACAGAAGATTCTGCACATTATTGTGGCTCATCTGAACCTTGATGTCACCTCAAACCATGATCATGTTTATAAGAATGTTCTGGCTTTCCCTTCCCTCTGGCTCGGCAGCAGGCAGGGAGGCCTGGCCACGCTGCTGCCACTGCACCCACCCCTGCCGTGCCACAGCCACCCAGAACTCTTAGAACTAACACTTTCATTGCTTCTTACTTAGAACAGCAACTTTGTTAACTACGGGAAATGGATTCGTAGCTTTAAACAGCTTTTCTTGGTGCTACCTCTGACAGTTTGCTTTAGAAGCTGACCAAAACTGTTCCTATTGCTGCATGTTAACATTTCATCAAGAGAGGAAGAACTTGGGAAGATCCTTATGTACATACAGTATTTACTCTCCTTTTTGAAGGCTTTGAGACTTCCAAGCTCATCTAAGAAGGCCTGCCCAGCCTTCCTCAGGTTCTCGGAACTTCTTTTGCTCAAAAACCACCCAAAATACATGGGTAGGAATTCCTTCTCCAGGCTCGGCTTCATCTTCTTCAGCTCATCCACTGACAGTTTCCACTGATTCTTTTCCTTCAGCTGCAAACAATCCATTCTCCACTGGGTTTTGGGCTCAGCAAAGACGACTTTGTACCGATATTTGTCAGCAATGTCAAAGAGCTGGTCCAGTCGTTCCCTCTCGTGGTGAGTGTCATCCAGAACAATAACACTGATATCTCGTTTGCAATAGTCAACTAGATCCTCATCCACCTTTGAGTACTCTTCAGGAATGGTACTTCTTATTGAAGGTGTAATTTTATAGTTATCAACAGAGATGACCTTGCAGGCATCTTTATACCTATCTTGAATAGCCTGGGCCAGGGTGGACTTCCCACTGCCAGGCAGCCCTCTTAAAATAAAAAAGGTTTTAGATTCTTTGACTGTGGAGATGGTATCTTCATCATCAAGAAAAGGGAACTGCAAGCCTTCAGGTCTTTCTTTTGCTGATTGAGTAGACATTTTTCTAAATATTTTAGGCAGGAATGTGTGACTCTTCTTTGAGAAGCCTCTGTTCTGAAATGCAAGAAGAAAATATTTTGCAGTCTAGCAACCCCAGGGCACCGTGTGTTCCTGCTGCACAAGCAGGCACCACCGAGCACCTTTGCTGGAAGGAGGGAGCTCGGGGAATGTCCCCAGGTCCCCAGGCTGCAGCTGCCCCTGCAGGTCCGGCAGCAGGGACC